TATCTGTAACTGATGTGGGCACAACATTTTTGGCACCCGTGAAACAGAACGTTTGCTCAACTTTAAATTTGTCAGTAAGAATTGAGCAAACTAAACCAGTGGAGATGTCAGTGGTGTTGGTTATTATTTCTGCTGTTAACTATTGGTCCTCTTAAATTAGGACATAAATGAGATTAATTCTTTTTCTGCAAATTCTTGTGGGTGGTCTGCTACTGTGGACATTATCTTCAACATCATCCTGTCTCTTCTAAAAACAAGTTATCCTTGTGACTGGGTAGTGGTGCAGCAGTAAAACACAGTGCTCTTAGAAGTTAACCCACAGAGCAGGGTTTCAGGTTTGTGTCTGGGAACTTCCTTGAGAACACTGGGCCTGCCTGTATCCATAGTCCAGGGCTGAAGTTGGGGGTGGTTTGTGGCACTAACATCCTGTTGGGGGCGCTGTCTCTCTGTGTTTCACTCTGTCTTCCTCATGGAAGAAAAATAGGTCAGCTTGAAGAATAAAAGAAGCAACTGTTCCTAGACAGCCACACTTGTGCAGTGATAATAAATGCTGATAATCAATGCTGATGCCACCTGGAAAGCTCCCAGGTTTGGGTCCTAAGTTCCCTCTGTGCATACCAGGTACACACACATAACACACAGCAACACACACATGCTCATGATCTTGTCTGGCTGAGCCTGAGGTGGATCATGTTGTGAAGACTCCATTGCAAGAGAGGTGCCCTCTCTCACTTTCTTACTTTTCCACTTCTTTCATAGAAGAAATATATACATATGTGTGTGTGTGTGTATGTGTATGTATGTGTATATATATATATATATATACATGCATATATGTATACATATATATAGGTGTGTGTATATACATGCATATACATACATACATGCATATACACACATACATACCCACAAATACACACATATATGTATATATAATTTCAAATAATTGCTTGTGAGTAGGTAATACCTTTACATGGTTCAAAATCTAAAGTAGAAGATAGAAAACAGATATATATATATATATGTATATATATATATATGTGTGTGTGTGTATTTTTTTTATGTAGGGACTTAGAGACCCTAATGTAACTGTTTTTCTTGGAAATTCTCTTCATCGTGTGCTACCATCACACTTAAAAGATTCCTGTGTAATACTAAAAAATGTATCAGATTCTGTTTTTAGTAGCACTTTCCTTCCTTTCTTCTGAATAATAAATATTAATAACATCAGTTTTGATCTTAAATTCTTTATAAACATGGGCTTCTCTGATTACAAATAATTCTTTAAGGTCCTTCTAGGCAGTCTTACCTGTCATTTGAGGCCAAGTGACATATATAGCCATTGCCCTGCTCCACCTAGAAGATGTAATTTACATATAAGATGTTATTCGAGACTATTACTTGTGACAAAAGTATGACATATTTCAGCATGTCTTATGCCTGTACTTTTCCCAATGGAGTCATGTGACATGCTCTTGCATTTATTTTACATCTAGTGAATTTGAACACAAATGATTAAATAAGATATCACTTTGTTCAGGGCAGTGCTTCTTAAACATTACCCTGTCCCCCACTCATGCCTCTCCCTAACATGCAATTTGTGGGCTAAGGTCCCGTGTTTCTACCAACATCCTAGTCAGGCTTATGCTACTGGACCAAGAGCCACACTTGACATTATCATGATACCATTGCTAAGGATAGCATCAAACCTATGCTGATGGCATTAAGCTTATTTTTTTCTATACTACCCTTAGTTGTATTAATTATTCTTTAAGTATGTAAAGAGATTATTTCTGAAGGGATGACTCCCTTTCAGTGGCAAAGTATATGTTTTTAAGGTCTTTTTTTTAATTAAATGGTTTTCTTTCTTTCTTTTTTTTTTTTTGGAGAGATTTTTGCATGTGTGCTCGCCAGACAGACAGAGAGAAACATAGAGAAAGAAAGCGAGAAATCACCCCTCAGAGGGGATGGCCATGCCGCAATCTCTTCTCCTCCATTCTCCTCTTGGGATCTTGGGCACACACGCACATGCGCCTGGCGTGAGTTTTAAGCCACCGGGTCTGGGACATGAACTGCGGTCGACTACATGGGCGTCCAGCAGCATAGCCATTACACTAACTGCTGGTCCCAAATTAAATGGTTTTCTTTTTTAAATAAAGTTTTACTAAGTTCTTCTATGAGCAAGAAAGACAGAGACAAAAAAAAGCTGCCAGTAGGGTTCTGACACTACAGTCTTCCCCTACATCTGCCAGTTCTAGATTATAGCTACACACATGCCCAGCATACTCAAGAAAGTCTTTGGAGTTGAACCCAGAACCTTCTCATGTGGGTCAGCCTCCCACAGTGTGTGTTTTACCACTGTGCTACTATCCAGCCCCAATGTGTGATTTTTATAAAACATTATGTCCTGCTATTCTTGCCTAGAAAGTCCCTTCCTGCACCTTTTAAATTTTCTAAACAGGCCAGCCAGTGGCATGGTGGTTGAGGTGGTTGAATCTCACATGGCCAACTGCATGTTTCAAGTCCTGAACCCAGTGGCTTGAAAATCATGCCAGGCACATGTGCCTGCATGACCCCAATCCCAAAAGGAGGAAGAAACGGAGAAGGGATTGCAGTGTGGCCATGCTCCCTGGGTGGGGGGGTGGGGAGGCAGGGCAGGCTTTCTCACTTTCCCTCTCTGTTTTCTGTCTCTCTTCTGTGAACACATGTACCCTCTGGCAAATTATTTTTTTTTAAGTTTCTTAACAATAAAAATGAATTTTACCATTTTTGGTCATCAAGACATTTTTTGGATAGCTTACAGTCATTTAAATTGCAGAGTAAATTTATAATATTCTTGAGTCTTAAGTAACATTTACAGTGTTTTTTAAGTTATATTTCTAAAGATAGCTAAGGAAACAATTTTGAGTAGCCTTCCGTGCTTTTAGAAATGAATTGTTTCAATCTCTGTGCATTGGTGAGAATTAAGAGACTCACAGCTTGCCGTGTCCTGTCATGTTAGCTTATTTTGTAGGGAA